CTAAGTCAAATTTCTAGGTACCATGAAAAAAAATTTGACTTCGGGAGGTTTAGACTTAGGGAGGTTTTCATTTTTTGAGTTTTCCAGTTGAGAAAACAAACACTTTTGTTGTGAGAAGTGAAAAAAAATGTGGGAAATCATAAATGAGGATATTCTGGGCTACACCTTGCTGAACTTTGAGGCAGGGGTTCATTTTCTATACAGTATTTCTCTTTCAATTCCTTTGAAGATGCATCAAATTATTTGTTTTAATCGTTTTATCTTTCATATTTCAAGAAAATAATGACCAGAAGGCCTCAGAAAATTTGACTTACAGAGGTTTTATAAAAAAAGACTTTGAGTTAGGGAGGTTTTTGATGCGTTGATACTAAGGGAATTCAGACAGGGACTTGAAAAAATTTCTACTTAGAAGGTTTGACTTATCAAGGTTCACCTTTATCTCACATTGTCCCTATGTCATTTGGAAATATTAGCTCAGCAAATCTTGGTGAAGTTTTGTTGAATTTTTTTTACATGTTTTTTTCAGGTTTCCTATCCCAGGATAACCTTGCCACCTCCTCCACCGGATACCCCTCCACCACCTGCGCCAACTTACGCCACGCCAGTGTATGCCAGTTTGAATCAGCAGCAACATTTGCAGGCTGCGAGCACGCTAAGCTCTCAGTTCAGTGCCCATCAGGCGACTGTGACTGAGATGATCAAAGAGCTGTGCATGGACAGAGCAAGGCTGAGGTTCTCTGCTGTGGTCCAAGAAGGCACCTATGGTAGGGTGTATAGAGGTGTTTACACCTCTCCCACTGCTGGCAAGGGCCAGGAGGTGCTGATCAAGACTGTTACCAGTGAGTATCCTCTTTTGAGCCTTGGGGGGAAAAACATTTTGAATTTTTTGAAAACTTCTTTAGATGCACATGCAACCCATTCAACCCTTGTGTGGTGAAGTTTGGGATATTGTGTGCAAAATTGTGTGTGCATGAGCACTGACAATTAAAAAAATCATTATCTTGGACTGAGGCCTATGTTTGGTATTTTTTGTAATCCTGCAGAAAATTTTGCCTCAAAAATGAAAGAAAAATCCTCACTGGGTGGCATTTTTTTCATGCATTCCTAGCATATGATTGATATTGGGGATTTATGAAAACAAAAGGACATTATCTATGCCCAGATTTTTCCTGAGTTAGGCCTTCCCAACCTTGGGGCATTTCAGTGACCTTTGAATCAAACTGAAATGCACCAATCAGGGGAAATTATTGATTCATCAGGGCTGACATTTTACTCTTGCAAACCCCAACAGGATTTTTGATGAAAATCACCTGATTTTGAGGGATGCTGATCAAACAGAGGAAGGTCAATGAGATACCTTTCCTAATGAATGAATGAACAGAACACTTTATTTGCTGCTTTTCAGCATTCACAAGGTTCAATCAAGATTCCCACAACCAAACCCAGTTCCCACCCAACCCAAATCCACTCAATGACATTTTAATCACTTCAGAGCAGGATGGTACCTAGAAATTTGACTTAGAGAGGTTGAACTGTAGAAAGTTTGACATTGTACAAATTGAGACTGACAATTCAAGATTTTTTAAATTTAAGCTGAGCGGAAAGCACAAATTGATAACAAAAATAAAAGAAAATGCAATACAACATGAAATACAACTGGACATTGGACATGTATGCATATACACCCATTCATTCCCTGACATAGGTAACAAAATATATGTAAAAAAAATCAATTTAAAGCACAAGGTCCTCAGCTTGTTTCCTTTACTAAAATGTTAATGGAAATGGGGACAAGGAGGAAAGACTATCAAAGAATTTTATAAATTCACTCTTTTGAATGACTATACAAGATTTATTAATACACTAATGCTCTACGCTGGTTAAATTCCTCATTGAGAAATACTTGAGCTGTCAAAGAAAATTTTGAGGACTGAATTGGGCAGAAGATTGTGGAAATTTTTGCTAATTCTTGAGCTGCGCAGACCAATTGAAAAATGTCTCAGACTTTATGTGAGGCCAAATCAGTGAAATTCTTTTTTGTTTTTGGCTGGGGCTCAGAAGAATCCATTCAGTGGTAAAAGTAATTATTCAACCCTCTTGAGGATTTTCCAGGAAAATAGGGACTAAAACTCTCTATGACGAACCGATACCTCTTTCAAGTTATTTTATTATCTTGTAGTGAACATTTCCAAAGGTCTTTAGGAGGATTAAATGACAGAGCTAAATAGTTATGATGGGGTCTGGTCATACTTATTTCCGAATAAAAAAGAAAGTTCGCAAGATGTACGAGCAGACTTGGAATATTAAATTAGAAGCACATTTTGAAACCTTTACTATCTTCTTTGAAAAACTGAATTTATTTCTGGGTTCTTTGTTCCGAAAAAAAAATTTGAGAAAAAGGCCGGATTCGGTAAAAGAATTTCCCGTGGTTAAAACCTGCGTCTCTCCAGCAGCAATCCTTATTAGTCCAGAAATGCGTTGAACCTTTTCAACACTCGAGAGAAGAAGAAGAAAAAAAAAACGAAACAAAACCTCATTATTCATCAAGTGCTCAAAGCGGGCGCAACAAACGAGAACGTTCAACTCCCGAAAAACGGGGCGCTATGGCGAAGTATCAACTTTCCGCTCCGCATGGCCAAGCACAACCCCCTGTATGTAGAAACAAAGCCCAGACTTTGTTCCAAGCTTTCTTCCGTTTTATATGAGAAAATAACGCGGTGTAACGTGACTACGTGAGTGAGTGAGAGACCCAAGAAGAAGAGCAACAAAAACAAAATATATAAGAGAGAAACAGGAGAAGAAATGAAAAGAAGGAACATTTCTTTCATCAATTTGCACTGGAATATATATATACAGTATAGAAGAGGAGAATGCTGTTCCTGATGGAAAAGTTTTGCGTCTTTTCTCTTTCTCTCGCATTTGCTCTGCTATACTTGCCTTATTTTTCAACATGGATCTCACATCGAAAATGGTTCCTCTATAGTGAATTGTCTCCAAACTTTTTCCTCCCCTTCATTCCCGATGGATTTTTTCAAATACTTGCATATTTTTAAAGAGTCCTGCTTTTCAATTCATGTTTGTTCAAATGCGTTGGGAAATCATTTTGAAATGTTCATGATTTAGATTTTAGGGAGAGGCCAGGAACCACCTATAATACATGCTATAAGCGACAAAATATGTTTTCTTTTAATCACCCTGTAGTAAAATGTAAAAGATGTTGCTCATAAAAATTTGAGGTGTAGCAAGTTTTTAAAATGAAGAATCAATCATCATTATTCATGTTTTATTTGCTGTGATTCATTTGAATCCAATTTTTTGGATCTGTCTACCTTTTGTTGCTGGAATTTTGTCCTCAACAAGGCAGGCGCGATTTTTTGTGATACATGATCGAGTTTTATTCAATTTCTTGAAAACAATAAAGCTTCTGAATAAAAAATTAATTGCAAATCTTTAGCAATTGTCAATCAGACAATTTTTCCTGTGTTCCAAACAATGTTTCCAATCCAATAAAACGAATATTTTCATATATTAAATTCAAAGCATTTCCATGTGATTCTTGTAAATCTTGTTTTTGTTGGGGTCGCGCGGAAGTAGGACAGGAAATTTTCTTCCTTCCGAAACAGAAACATTTTTTATCTGATTATAATCATGGATCTAAAAAAAACTGTGGGAAATTTTCGGGTCACTATCAAGTTTTTTTTCAGGGTCGCGCGGAAGGAGGACAGGAAATTTTTTTTCTTCAGACCTTAGAATATATTTAATTTTCTTTGTTTGCCATTCCTGGATTTTAAAAAAAACTGCGGTGAAATTTTGAATAACTATTATATACAACTCTGGAACAGGATTTTGAATATTATTCCTGCTAATTATAATCCAAAACGCGCAAAATGAGGAAACATTTTGTACAAAATGTTTCATTTCTGGGAAGAAATTGAAACACTTAAAAAGAACTGCAACAAATTTCCCGTAAAATTCACCACGTGGAATAAAATGGAATGCGCTTAAATTTTTCAAATGGTAATTACGGTAACTCTAAGAGTTGATATGTTTTTTTTGGCTTTTGGAATATAATTGTAATTTTTGGTCCACCCTGTACAAGTGCTTTTTAAATTGCTCGTATATTAAGCAGGACAAAGTGAACGGCTCATAAGATTATGCATGAAGGCCTGACGAACTATATAGTCAATGATGTTTCCGGGTTTATTTTTGATTTTGTAATGGGATTTCTGTTTCGTGTTTCCAGGTGAGTCCTCTTCAGTGCAGAGGACCTTGTTGCTGGGTGAAGGTCTGCTTATGTTTGGACTGTCACATCCAAACATTTTGCCAATTATTGGCGTTTCTGTGGAGGAACAGCCAAGTCTAGTCTACCCGTACGTGAATGCCGGAAACCTTAAACTGTGAGTATAGACAACAGTTTTTTCTCTCTCTTCTTTTTTTGAAAATAATAGCAGAATTTTTTGTAAAAAAAAAATTAAAATGAAAAATATGAAAGTTTTAGCAGTTGAACCAATCATGCTGCAAATAGTGCAGAAAGAAACACTTCTTTTGAATGGAGAGCAGCGTTAAAAAAAAGAGTAGACAACATCTCTTTCCTTTCCAAGTTTTATTTCTTTGAAAAGAATTTCAAACATTTTTGTTTAACAAAATTAATATGCAAAATATGAAATTTTCAACAACTGATATCAATCATGCTGCAAATTTTGCAGAAAGAAACACTTCTTTTGAATGGAGAGCAGCGTTTAAAAAAATAATAAAACCTGCACATGTATCCATATATATTTTCGACAGAGTCTTCGGGGGGGTTGAGGATTGCTGAGATTTTTTTCGCTCTTTTTTTCGTTCTTTTTTTTTCCTTCAAATGAAGTTGTTGAGTGGCATCTCTGTCAGTGTGAAGTAAGAGGACGAGGGAGGAGGAAAAAATGATGGACTGCAACAGGGCTCTTAGTGCATGCAAAAGCGTTTTTCACTCTCCAGTAGAAACAGCTGTTGACGAGTTGCCACTCGACGCGGATTTAAAGCTCCAATTTCCGGCATTTTGCTCGTCTGGGTTCAAGAGGGTGATGGCGGGGGGGGAATGGAATTCTGACGGTGGTACATTTTTTGTTGCGATTTTGGATTGGAATATTTCATCAAGTTTTCATGCTCCGATTTCAGATGCTTGAAACGAAAAATAAAAAATGAAAACGGGGATCCTTAGTAATTGAAATAAAATGGCCCCCGCCTATAACCGACCTCCCGCGTAAGGGATTTTCGCATAACAGACCATCTCGTCTGCAGGCAGTTTTTCCTCCCGCCCAACGGACAAAATCCGCCAAATAGACTTCTTTTGGTTTAAAATTAGCGTTGACGATTGAAATGTTAAAGATTATATGTATGATATAATTTGTCTAAAGGACTTTTCGTCGAACAGACTTGTCCTTCGCATGAATTAAGTCCGTTAGACGGGGGTTGACTGATAAATGCTTTCACCTGGTCCAATGGATTTTTTTTGAGAGGGTGCGATGAAATTGAATTCTAACTGGGATACATTTTTTGTTGAGATTTAGGTTTAATATTTTTCAAATTTTTCATGCTCCGATTTCTGTAGCTTGAAGATAAAAACTACAGTTTTTTAAATTCAGGCTTTTATAATGTCCAATTGACTTTTTTGAAGAGGAGGCATGGAAATAAAATTTCTGACTGGGGTGCATATTTTGAAATTTTGGTTTAGTATTTTTCAAAGTTTTTCATGCTCCGATTTCACAAGCTTGAAACGAAAAAACCGGCGAAGCTAGTTTTTAAATCAATGCTTTTACAATTTCCTTTTTTTAAAGACGTCTCTCTTGATACAAAGAAACCTTCTGATGGACTTCGACGGAATTAGAGTCGAAATTTAATTTTTGAGCCATCTGTCAAGGTTTAAAAAAATAACTTAAATAAGTGTTCGTTCGATATTTCCCCTCTTAAATGTGTTCAATTACTAGGTATAAAGAAACAATTTGGAAGCTTATGCTTGGTTTTTTGCCTTCTGGTCGATGATTGCATTTATTCAAAATCTTCGAAATTTCAGGGAGTTGAAGATTTGTGTCAAGAATTTTCTCGTCTGCGATTTTTCGAATGAGGAAAAACAATGTCGATGAGAAAGTGCTGTAGAACTTTCGAGATGAAAACGATTCGGCATTATCCAAACTTTTTAAAATTGCTTTCAAGCAATTCAAATCACTTTATTATCTGGAATTGTTTTTTTTTCAGAAGAACATGGAGCATTTGTGGTGCAGTAAAATATATTTCTCCAGTAGATGATTCATCTTTAGCCAGACAATTTTTTTTTCTTTTTTAAAGAAATTTCCTAAAAAAATTTATTAAAGCTTGTTTTATATTGAAAAAATTAATTTCTTCAGGAATTTCGTGTCATTATTTTCTTAGTATGGATGATTCAGCTTGAAATCAAGAACAGTTTACAATTCTTCTTAAAATTAGGTAAAAAAGAAAATTGAATGAAGCAACAAATTTGTTTCCACCTGAAATGAAGACGAAAAGAAGTTTAATGTCTCCGGAAACGTCAGCTTCGAAAATTCTCTCTCATAAAAGAAAAACGTTCATAAAAGAAAGTGTTGTTCGTTTGTGTCGGCGCGTCCCGGTGATGCGCCGATTGGATTACAGTTTCGGCTCCAATTTGGCGCCTCGTTTCATAGAGGGACCGCGAGAAAATTCCGCACATTGTACTCAACAACGCGGGAGCGATTTTTGGTGATACATGATTGAGTTTTATTCAATTTCTTGAAAAGAAGCTCCTGAATAACGAATCAATCGCAAATCTTCACCAATTGTCAATCAGACATTTTTTCCTGTGTTGCAAATAATTTTTCCAATCAAATAAAACGAATATTTTTATACATTAAATTCAAAGCATTTCCATGTGATTCTTTTAAATATGGTTTTTGTTGGGGTTACGCGGAAGTAGGACAGGAAATTTTCTTTCCTCCGAAACAGAAACATTTTTTTATCCGATCATAATCCTGGATCTAAAAAAAAAGAAACTGTGGAAAATTTTCGGGAAACTATCAATGTTTTTTTATTAGGGTCGCGCGGAAGTAGGACAGGAAATGTTCTTTCTTCAGACCTTAGAATGTATTTCATTTTCTCTGTTTGCCATTCCTGAATTTAAAAAAAAACTGCGGGAAAATTTTGAAAAACAATTACCTACAACTCTTGAATTTTGAATATCATTCCTGCTGATTATAATCCAAAACACGCAAAATGAGGAAAAATTTTGCGCAAAATGTCTGGGAAGAAATTGAAATGCTGAAAAATAACTGTAACGAATTTCCCGTAAAATTCACCACGTGGAATAAAATTGAATGCGCTTAAATTTTTCAAATGGCGATTAGTTCCAACAGTTGATATGTTTTTTGCTTTTGGAATATTATTGTAATTTTCTGGTCCACCCTGTACAAGTGCTTTCTAAAATTGCTCGTATATTAAGCAGGACAAAGTGAACGGCTCAGAAGATTATGCATGAAGGCCTGACGAACTATATATATCAGTTACTACAAAGGCCCAAATAAAAACTAAAACATTACCCTAAAGACAAAGCACAAAGGTCCACTCAGGAGAAGTCACGTCTCCTGGAACAACGACCCACTTCCAGACGAATACAAACCTGACACACATCCAAACATTTTGCCAATTATTGGCGTTTCTGTGGAGGAACAGCCAAGTCTAGTCTACGGCATGCACTTACGGCCTTTGGAATTTGACACTCATATCTGTTGTCAAAAAAGAGAGAGAAGAAAAAAACTTTTATTATCGTCTTAAAAAACATTTTTTTTTTAATTTTACTTTTTATACTTTCAAACAACAGTTGAACCAATCATGCTGCAAATAGTGCAGAAAGAAACACTTATTTTGAATGGAGAGCAGCGTTAAAAAAAAGAGTAGACAACATTTCTTTCCTTTCAAAGTTTTATTTCTTTGAAAAGAATTGCAGACATTTTTGTTTAACAAAACTAATATGCAAAATATGAAAGTTTCAACAACTGAACCAATCATGCTGCAAATGTTGCAGAAAGAAACACTTCTTTTGAATGGAGAGCAGCGTTTAAAAAAAATAAAACCTGCACATGTATCCATATATATTTTCGACAGAGTCTTCGGGGGGTTGAGGATTGCTGAGATTTTTTTCGCTCTTTTTTTCGTTCTTTTCTTTTTCTTCAAATGAAGTTGTTGAGTGGCATCTCTGTCAGTGTGAAGTAAGAGGACGAGGGAGGAGGAAAAAATGATGGACTGCAACAGGGCTCTTAGTGCATGCAAAAGCGTTTTTCACTCTCCAGTAGAAACAGCTGTTGACGAGTTGCCACTCGACGCGGATTTAAAGCTCCAATTTCCGGCATTTTGCTCGTCTGGGTTCAAGAGGGTGATGGCGNTGGGGGTTGAAGGGGGGGGGGGGGGGGGGGGGGGGAATGGAATTCTGACGAGGGTACATTTTTTGTTGCGATTTTGGATTGGAATATTTCATCAAGTTTTCATGCTCCGATTTCAGATCCTTGAAATAAAAAAAAAAATAAAAACAACGGGGATCGTTATTAATTTAAATAATAAATAATTTAAATTAATAACGTCTGTTATTAATCTGTTAGGCAGTGGCCCCCGCCGAACAGACCTCCCGCGTAAGAGATCTTCGCCTAACAGACCATCTCGTCTGCAGGCAGTTTTTCCTCCCGCCCAACAGACAAAATCCGCCAAGCAGACTTCTTTTGGTTTAAAATTAGTGTTGACGATTGAAATGTTAAAGATTATATGTACGAGTATGATATAATTCGTCTAAAGGACTTTTCGTCGAACAGACTTGTCCATTGCATGAATTAAGTCCGTTAGACGGGGGTTGACTGATGAATGCTTTTGCCTTGTCCAATGGATTTTTTTTAATTTTCCAAGAGTGTGTGGGAAAATTGAAGTCTGACTGGGATACATTTATTTTTTTAGATTTTCCTTGAATATTTTCCCAAGTTTTCATGCTCCGATTTCAGAAGCTTGAAACCAAAAAATTGGGATATATTAGCTGACGTTTTTTGAACTTGAGGCCTTTACGATGTCCAATTGATTTTTTTTTATGAGGGGGCATGGAAAAAAAATTTCTGACAAGGGTGCATATTTTGAAATTTTGGTTTAGTATTTTTCAAAGTTTTTCATGCTCCGATTTCACAAGCTTGAAACGAAAAAAAAAGGGGGAAGCTAGTTTTTAAATCAATGCTCCGACGATTTTCATTTTTTTTCGTGAGGTCTCTCTTGATACAAAGAAACCTTTTCGGTTATCGACGGAATTCGAGTCAAAATTTAATTTTTGAACCATCTGTCAAGGTTTTTTAAAACAACTAAAATAAGTGTTCGTTTGACATTTTCCCTCTTGAATTTGTTTACCTACTGGGCATAAAGAAACAATTCGGAAGCTTAGGCTTGGTTTTTTGCCTTCTGATCGATGATTGAATTTATTCGAAATCTTCGAAATTTCACGGAGTTGAAGATTTTTGTCAAGAATTTTCTCGTCTGCGATTTTTCGAATGAGGAAAAAAATGTCGATGAGAATGTGTAAGAGCTTTCGAGACCTAAACGAATCGGCGTTGTCCCAAATATTTAATTTATTTCCAGCAATTTAAATCACTTGAATTTTTGCGAATTGTTTTTTTTCTTCAGAAGAACATGGATTATTTCTGGTACAGTAAAATATCTTTCTCCAATAGATGATTCATCTTTAGCCAGACAATTTTTTTTCTTTTTTAAAGAAATTTCCTAAAAAGATTTATTAAAGCTTGTTTTATATTGAAAAAATTATTTTCTACAGGAATTTTGTGTCATTATTTTCTTCGTTTGGATGATTCTGCTTGAAATCAAAAACATTTTACAATTCTTCTTAAAATTAAGTAGAAAGACTTAACTTACTTCGTTGTTTAAACAAAGGTGGACTTTACTTCTGCTTTTCTTCAAATTACAGAGGCCTTTGCAGTCGAAGCTTTTAAGAGAGAGTATTTTCTTTTTGCAAGTATTTTCTTTCACAACACCAGGTGCTTTGAGAATGACATCGCGAGGCGAATCTTGACAAATGCGCGAGATTTCTGCAGAGACGACAGAAAAAAAAATCTGCGTGCCAAAAATAAAAGCCGGTTTTCGCGCTGCCGTTTGTCCATCATCGTCGGCGTCATCTCGGCGAAAATGCAAATGAGCCGAGGGATTTTTCCTGACGCAGAAGGCGGAAGGAATGTTTACTGGCGGCTGCTGAGCAAAAAAAAAATTTGCCCTTCTGATAAACTGCAGACGCCAATTCTGGTTGCCGTTTCATCTGGACTCGCTTTAATTTTTACTGTAGTCGCCTGGGATTTCTGCAATAAAATGGCGCTTAACTCTTGCAAAATGTATCAAGAAGCGAGACTTGTTTTTTGCTAATTTAAAACAAAAAAACTGTTGAAGGATGGCGATAGAATATATCCGAGATTAATTAAAACGCCTCATTCAGCTGAAAATACAGTATTCCTTCATTAGATTCAGATTGACTTTTTTTTAGCCCTCCCAAATTCAAATTGAGACTAATGTTGAAAAAAATTGTAGAATGGCCTTTTCTAAATTGGTTTAGATCTTCCTCATACCAAAAAAAAAACAAAGAAAAAATTCTAGTGAGCCTGTGAACCAAACCTGAGGCTCACCAAAGACATTCCTAAAAGAAAACTCTTCTTACTTGAAATTGTTCTTCATAACTTAAATCTGTCAAAGCTTTTCTGATTTCCTTCTCTTGTCTATTTTTGGCACTTCTGGTTGTGCTTTTGTGCTGAGCAGATCTCCAGAGAAAAGCCAAGAAAATCATTTTTGGAATTTGAATTCAAGGTGCTTTACTAAGCCTCTGACTTCTATAAATATAACTGGGTTTTATTTATAATTACTGTAATTGGTTATTTTAGGAATAATTTTGATCTTTGATTTGTCCCCAGTTGGGTTCAATTGAATGAAATTTCAGGACATTAATGAGCCCTTTTTCTCAAAGAAATATGGAGATTTTTTTTTTGAAAAAGAATGCACTCATATCGTCAAAAATCCTTTTTTTTTCCAAGATAGCCAGAGTGTCAGCCACCCAACTCAGTTGCTGCTTGGGGAATAACCTGCCAGCTCAGGTTTGCTGGCCTGGGTTCGCCTTCTGCTTTTTCGCGAACCTGGGGATCTGGTTTTTCGTGACCTTTCGGACCTGTCTGACTCGCCTGAATGAATTTTCTAGGCAGGTGCTGCGGGGAAAATAAAACGAGAAAAAAAGGGAAGAAAAAGGCCAAAATAAGAGAGGCGAAAGTGATGTTGCTATGACTTGAATAATGCATCTGCCTCTGGCTTCGCCTTTTTTCCCTCATTTTTTGTGCATTTTTTCTTGGTCATGCAATTCCCATATTATTTTTTCGTCTTTTTCCTGGGCGAGAAATTTTTTTTCCGATTTTTCTGTCTCCACTTCCGTCTCTAAAGTCGATTTTTTTTTTAATTCCAGTAATTGACATTGGACTGAATATTTTATCTGATTTTGAAATCATTTTGAAAAGTTTATCGATCAATATCATGTGTTCGCCGATTCAGTAAGAAGACAAATAATTTTGTTGAATTAGGAGTAGCTTCGATTTGAATCAAAGCTGTTAAATTCATCAACTGAAAATATGTCTTTTCCCTTTCCTAACAAACAAATAATTTTGAATTTATGATAATTTTTCTCAATGCCACCCAAGGGACGAAATACATTTTAATAATTCAATGTGAATAATATGCGTCTGTTTTTTTGATCACATTTATTTTCTGAGAAAAAATTTCCGTGTGTTTTTCACTTCCTGTGATAATCTTTTTTTTTTTTTGCTCTCAATTATTTCCTAGCTCATCCTTTTTAAAAATTTATTTGTTTTTCGTGGAATGTTTTACTTGCTGAGCTTTGAAATAATGCAGGAAAAGTTTGTTGACCGAAGTAATGTGTTTGCCCATTCAAGAAAAAAATTGTGTGAGTTAGGATGTCGGTCTTCTGTGAGTGAAACAAGTTTTTATTCAGGTAGTTTTTTTAGAGAGAGAGAGGAAGGAAATGGTGGTGATACCTTTACCTGCCTCCCACTTGTTGGAATACTGCTTGTTGACAGAAGGTTCTAGAAAGCGTTGAGCCTTTCATCTTTTCCAGAAAAAGCCTCAGGATGGGGTTCTTTTTTCTGCCTCTTTTTTTTTTTCTTCTTCTTCTTTTGGGGTTTTGGAGAGGTTGAAAGCATTCAGGCATGTTTCGTTTTTCACCTCACAGCCTAATGAACTCACGTGAACCCCTTTGTCCACACCCTTCGACTCCCCAAAAGGGGTACCTATGAAATAACCTTGGGCACCCTAAAAAAGGCAATAAGTTGCAGCTCGAAATCAACTTTGGCAAACATCATCTTGAAGTGAAATATTTTTGTAGCTTGAAGAGACTAAAATAATTTACAAGACGAAGCAAGAGCTGAAAAAGGGGTGAAATTCCATCAGGTCCCTTCTTTCTATACGAGTATTTCACGGTAATAAAGTACTAAAGTTGGACTCCCCGACAACGAAATTCTCTCTACAACGCAATTTTCTGGTCCCTTGAATTTCGTTGCAATTCTCTCTCAGACTATTTTTTCTGGTCCGCTGAATTTCGTTGTAGAGAACCCATGATATGTATAAAATACCCTATAAAAGGTATATGAAAAAATTCGTTATACAAAGAAAATGGTTGCAGACAAGATTCGTATAGACAGAATTTGCGTGGAGCAGAAAAATCCAAGACATTTGATTAAAATTATTTGAATTCTTTTTCTGATGGATTGGCCAAAAAAAATTCCTCGGAATTTAGAATATTTTTTCGCTTCAAATGGACTTTTAATCGATTATTTGGTCCATGTTGAGGCATATGAACAACAAAATTTGATTAATTGAAACATGAATTTTGAAGATAAATTAAAATCCATCTATTAGCATGGGACAACACAGAGTTTACTGTATTATATGTGGGCACTACCAAAATCTTGTCTACAACGATATTCTCTGTGTAACGAATTTTTTGGTCCCATAAAATTCCATGTCATTGTCGTTCTCTACAGCGAAATTCTCTCTGCAACAATATTTTAAATTTTCTGCTCCCTGTAATTTTGTTGGAAAGAAAGAGAGTCCACCTGTATATTAATATACTTTAGTAAGGCAATCTCAAATTATAAATTAGTCCTTCAGCAAAACAATTCAAGGTATATATTTCTAGTAGTGACATCTACCCATGTTTTGAGACGCACGGACTGTGTTCAAAGAAAATGCTGAGGCATGATCATTCAGAAAAAAGAATAGAGTAATTTATCTACTGGTATAATATCTAGCTGTATGCAATGCATATGATTCCAGCAAATTTTCAATTCATGATCGTCCATGCAAAGAAAAAAATTTCCTCGCAGTTCTTTTTTTTTTTTCGCATGCAGTCCGAAAATTAAAGCAGGAAACTAACGTTCCTGTTGTTGAGCTGTTTACGAAGGAACAAATGGTGATGACTCTCGAAACGAACCCCCCATTGTGAAGATAGAGAAGTAAACAATATAAAGTAATAGGAATTGCATTTCCAAAAACAAACAAAAAAAAAGTGCTGCGATTGACAAATGATTGTATGAGGGCTCGGTTTTTCTCGCATTTCGGCTCGAAATCGTAAACAACTTCATCTCGCTGCTGCTGCTGCANTTTTTCTTCTTCTTCTTTTGGGGTTTTGGAGAGGTTGAAAGCATTCAGGCATGTTTCGTTTTTCACCTGTGTCGGATTACTTGAGTGCACTTGGGGAAACAGGTGTGGGAAGCTGAGGGGTTTTCCCCATGGATACTTTATTGGAACCCGTGGGATTTTTTCCGTTATTCAACGTCGAGCTTTAGTTGAAACCGTTACATCATCTTGGAAGTGAAATATTTTTGTAGCTTGAAGAGACTAAAATAATTTACAAGACGAAGCAAGAGTTGAAAAAGGGGTGAAATTACATCAGGTCCTTCATCCTTCTATACGAGTATTTCACGGTAATAAAGTACTAAAGATGGACTCCCCGACAACGAAATTCTCTCTACAACGCAATTTTCTGGTCCCTTGAATTTCGTTGTAATTCTCTCTGAGGCGATTTTTTCTGGTCCGTTGATTTTCGTTGTAGAGAACCCATGACATGTAGAAAATACCCTATAAGGTATAAGAAAAAATTCGTTATACAACGAAAATCGTTGCTGACAAGATTCGTACAGACAGAATTTGCGTGGAGCAGAAAAATTCAAGACATTTGATTACAATTATTTGAATTCTTTTTCTGATGGATTGGGCAAAAAAAATTCCTCAGAATTTAGAATATTTTTTCGCTTCAAGTAATGTACTTTTAATCGATTATTTGGTCCATGTCGAGGCATATGAACAACAAAATTTGATTAATTGAAGCATGATTTTTGAAGATAAATTAAAATGCATCAATCAGCATGGGGCAACACAGAGTTTGCTTTATTACATGTGGACCCAACCAAAATCTTGTCTACAACGATATTCTCTGTGCAACGAATTTTTTGGTCCCATAAAATTCCATGTCATTGTCGTTCTCTACAGCGAAATTCTCTCTGCAACAATATTTTAAATTGTCTGCTCCCTGTAATTTTGTTGGAAAGAAAGAGAGTCCACCTGTATATTAATATACTTTAGTAAGGCAATCTCAAATTATAAATTAGTCCTTCAGCAAAACAATTCAAGGTACATATTTCTAGTAGTGACATCTACCCATATTTTGAGACGCAAGGACTGTGTTCAAAGAAAATGCTGAGGCATGATCATTCAGAAAAAAGAATAGAGTAATGTATCTACTGGTATAATATCTAGCTGTATGCAATGCATATGATTCCAGCAAATTTTCAATTCATGATCGTCCATGCAAAGAAAAAAATTTCCTCGCAGTTCTTTTTTTTTTTTCGCATGCAGTCCGAAAATTAAAGCAGGAAACTAACGTTCCTGTTGTTGAGCTGTTTACGAAGGAACAAATGGTGATGACTCTCGAAACGAACCCCCCATTGTGAAGATAGAGAAGTAAACAATATAAAGTAATAGGAATTGCATTTCCAAAAACAAACAAAAAAAAAGTGCTGCGATTGACAAATGATTGTATGAGGGCTCGGTTTTTCTCGCATTTCGGCTCGAAATCGTAAACAACTTCATCTCGCTGCTGCTGCTGCAACAAAACAATTTACGTCCTGCTGGGATTTTCCGTTTATTGTCCGTCGGTTTATATCTCAATTTTTTTTGTTTACCCTTGTTTAGTTTCTTTTATTGTTGTGCAAGTGTGTATGTGTGAGGGGAGGAGGAGGTGTTTGGCACAGAGATCAGTGAATGCTGTTGGGAATTTTCTGAGGGACTTAAGTCGAGGCTGAACGTTCCACTCCGTCGGTTGTTTGATTGATGGATTTTTCGTTATGTTGCTTTTTATTTATTTATGGTTACTTGTGGGAGTTTTGAAAGTTTTTTGCTGATTTTTTTTGTCAATTTCTATGGGCATACTATGGAAGCACGTGGTGCAGAACTATGATCATCCTTCCTTGGACTCGTGTTGTGAGAATAATTTTGTGATTATATTTGCTATCTTTTCACCATAATGTTCCTTAAAGAAAAAATGAATAATTCATTAAATAGTTTTGGTACCCATCCCTAAAATTAGAATTATGACGATAATAACGCACTCAGGTTGAAGAAGTTAAAAAGTTTTGTTTTTATGTTTGACCGTTTAAATTGAAATTTTTGCAGCGGAAATAGGCGGGGAAAATTGCAGTCATACGGTATTTCGGAATTTGAAAACGCTGTTTCTAGTCATAATTTAAAATTATATTGGATAAAAACATGTTGAGATTGGCCCCGAGATATTATTCGGCGATAAAATTCAGAACCTGTCTTATTTTCTAGTTTATTTCATTTTTCATTTATGAGAAATTAGCAAAACTGTTTTGAGTTTGCTCTTCAAACCCCAGTATAAATTCGAAAATATTCTTTAAAATATAAGACCAAAGGCATTCAAGTGGGAAATGACGTTGTATATAAAACCTGCATTAATTTATTTAATGAGGATTTGATGAAAAAAATTGAAAATGTGTGATATTCTGACATTTAT